GCCAACAGCTAGGCAGGGGGAGAACTAGGTGGGGCTGCCAGGCAGAGAGAATAAATAGAAGAAATCTAGGCTTAAGAGAGGAGCAAGAAAAGGAGGAGAGGAGGACGCCAGGAGCCAGCCACCCAGCCACACAGCCACCCGGCCACACAGTCACCCAGCCACCCAGCCACACAACCAGCCACACAGCCACCCAGCCACACAACCAGCCACGGAGTAAGACGGAAAGAAAGATATATAGAATAAGGAAAGGTAAAAAGCCCAAAGGCAAAACGTAAAGAGAAACGAGATAATTTAAGCTAGAAAAGGTGGCTAGAAACAAGCCAAGCTAAGGCCAGGCATTTGTAAGAAAGAATAAGTCTCCATGTATTTATTTGGGAGCTGGGTGGAGAGTCCCCAAAGAGCTATTAAAAAAAAACAAAAACAAAACTACAGAGATGAGATGGGTCAGGCTGTCGCCCTGGCAAAGCCCCTCAGGACCACGCTTGCCACTGCACCCTGACTCACACCCAAGGTGTGGTCCCCACCTGTCCCTAGATCTGCAGACTCTGCAAAGCAGACACCTGTCCCCTGGCTGAGCAGAGTCCAGAGTCGTGAGCCCTGATGACTGTGGTCAGTGCTGGGGTGTTACTTATGGTCAAGGAGGAGGGGGCAGCCTGTCTGGGACTGCATCTTCCACGCCCCAGAGGGAGGTGCCCAGGACACTCACCAGCCGGGACCGCACCCTCTTGGGCAGCTCCTCTTCCAGGGTGAAGATGTCCCCATGCTTCACCGTCAGCTGAGACCCGTCCTCAAACTCCACCTGCAGCAACATGGGGAGTCAGCATGGGGAGGGCCATAGGGTGCTGGCCCCATACCCACCAAGAGCCCAGAGGTGGAAAAGACTCAGGCATCCTGGGGTCACAGAGCCCTGTGGACAGCTGGCCAAGCCCGGGGCTGCCAAGGTCCTGAGCAGGCCCTGGGTGGCAGATGGCTGACATGGGTGAGACACGCCTAGGCAGCAGCGCTGTGGCCTCCAGGACCAGACGCCAGGTCTGACTATGCAGAGGGCAGGGCACAGGTCCTGGACGGGAGACTTAAGGGGATCCCCAGGGTCCTCAGAACCTGCTTTCCTCAACTCAGAGTGGCAGCTTGGCATGCCACCCCAAACAGACCCCCTCCTCCAGAAGTGATGCCCAAGGGATGGGTCAGGCTGCTGGGCTGGGAGGTGGACACCATGGGTGCTCCGGCATCAGGCCACCTTCTCTGGTGACAGCAGTGAGGAGCCCAAGTGACCAGTGGCCTGGGTTTCAGCCTGGCCTCCTGGCTGGATGAAGTCAAGTGGTGGAGACCAAGGCTCTTCCGGTGCCTTTGAGGGGACACTGGAGCAGGGGTGAGTCTGGACAGGAGGCCTGCCGGGAAACAGCTGCACTGCACAGTGTGGCTCTGACAGTGCCGTACACTGAGAGTCAGGTTCCCCAGAAGGAGGGGAATTCTGGAAGGTGCCCACTGCCACCCATCTGTGATACTCCAAAGGGCAGGCTGTACCACGCCCCCAACATTCTGAACAGCTCCAGCCCTCAGTCCAGGCTGTCTCCAGGGGCTCACACAGGCTTCTGGAACTATCTTGAGAGGAGTGTGATGGACAAGTGAATACACCCATCCCCTGGCTGTTGGGCTCCAGGGTGGGGTAACCTGGCTGGCCTCCCACTTTGTGCCAGAATCTTGCTTGGCCACACACTGTGTGGTGTGTGTCCCCAAGCTGCCTTGTCTCCTGGGAAGGGATGGCTGGGCCGACCCGCCCCTCCCGTCTGCCCAGGTGGGAGCACAGCTGTGCTGCAGTTCTCCTGTTGTTTGGCTCTGTGCTTCCTGCTGTCTTGAGACCAGGTGTTGCTGCACAGTTCAGGCTGGCAGCTCCTCCCCAAGCCCCACCCTGGTGCGGCGCATCCCCAGCCCTGGCCTCCATGCCGCTGGTAGCCTGTGTGAGCACTGACATGGGGTAGGCTGGCAGAGGCTGAGTGTCGCCAGAAGGCCGCTGCGGGGCTGCTCACCTGGTAGATGAGGCTGGTGGCCGCCGAGATGAACCTGGCTCTATACAGGTTGCCGTCTGTCCACCGCAGCTCCACCAGCTCGCCCTCAGGAGGCGGGCCTAGCCGCAAGCAGTCTCTGCTCTGCAGGAAGCAGACGGTGAGGTCCCGCCCATCCCGGATGCCCGGCTCGCCCCACCCCTCCCCTCCCTGCCATGCCCCTCACAGTGATGCTCTCTGGATACAGGTTGTCGCTGTAGGAGCCGTCGTCGAAGTTGACCTCGTAGAAGGTCTGCGCAGTACTGCCAATCACACGACAGCGATAGTACAGCCCGGTCCTGTTCTTGGTGATGACGACCTGGCCCAGGGACACAGCGCGCAGGAGCTGACCCTGGGGGGAGGGGGGGCAATGGCATGTGTGGGCGGGGTTTTGCCCAAGCGGATGAGGGCAGGTGGGCAGGACTAGCCCACATGGGCGGGGCCCCTCGTGTAGCCGGGAATGTGGCCTCAGCACTCACCCCAGCGCCACCTGCTCTGTGCTTGAGGCAGGTGATGGACACTACATAGGGCCAGTCGTCGGGCTCCATGAGGACACCAGCTGCATGTGCGCAGGTCACGTGGAAGGACGTGGAGCAGTGCTCGTAGGAACACTGGATGCAGGCGCCGGACACCTTCTTCATGCACTTGCGGCAGTACACACACTTCTGCAGAGGATGGGGTACAGGGTTACCAGCAAGGACAGGGAGGAACCTTCCAGAACAGGTGGGGGTCAGGGGGACAACCACAGGCCAGGACTGGGGCTTGATGGTATCTGGGGCTTGATGGTATCTGAACCCAAATCACCTCTTCTCAGGCCTCCTCCCTGTAGCCCAGAGTTGTGTGTGTGTCCGTGTGTCCGTGTGTGTGTGTGTGTGTGTGTCCTAGTGCAGGGCCATCGGGGTTTTAAATTGTCAGGACCGAGGATGCAGAGGCCACATTAAGGATTTGTAGTCAGCATGCCATCCACCTGAGCCATAACGCTCTCATTAAAAGGCACCCAGCTCTCAACCCCTGCTTCTGAAGGGGTCTCTGAGGCCATTCACTGGGCCTGCTCAGGTGGCCTACACTTGGGCTGGAATATGGTGCCAGGCCCCTGGACTTGTGACCCTGTCACCAGCTACCGGGGAGCCCAGGCTCTGGCTGTGAGCCAGCCCAGTGCCTCCAGGGCTCCACAGCAGCCCTCCACTCAGTGTGTCCTGGCAGCAGGAGAGATGAACCAGGCAGGCAGAACAAGTACAGGACATTGTCCACGCCCCTAGCTGAGGGCCTGGTCTCCAGCTTGACCAAAGCCAGCTGCCTTCCCAACTAGTGTGGTGTTAAGTGCCTGGAGCAGAGGCTATCCCAAGGTCTGAGCTGAGCCATCTCCATTCCCTTATCCCCTGACTTCCAGATGTAGGAAGGCCCTGGCCCATGCCTTGGACACAGTTAGGCAGCCACTGGCTGCGGCACAGGCCTCAGGTAGCCATCTGCATCTGGGCCCCACTCAGCCCACACCCAGAGGCAGGAGAGGACGGTGGGGAGGGGGGTTGCAACAAGACAGGCCTGGGGACCCCGATGCTCTCCAGATGGCCATGGCAGTCCACTCCAGCGGTACACTGTACGTGGGCAAGCAAACTTGGACCTCTGACCTCCCTCACAATCCTGCTACAGAGGGGTGTGTGTGTGTTCATTAACGAGCCAGAAGAGGCAATGTTCACAGGAGCCTCAGCATGTACCAACATGGAGTGCCTTCATCAGATACTCGGTGACCCAACTGGAAATGGGTCAAGCATGGGGCCAACAGTTTTCAAAGGAGGTGGATCCAAGCAGGTGCCCTGTGTGCGGTCACGAGGGGAACCATCGAGACGGTGGAGAGGGGCTGTGCAGTGGCTCAGGATACACTGTGGACCTGCGCCCTGACGGTGGAGGAAGGCTGCATGCCGAGGGCGGGGATGGAAGACACCGGGAAGGGTTCCTCAGAGTTTCAGAACAGTGTGACAACCCAGTGTGCTTGTGGCATGCATGCAGAAACAAGAATGTATCCTGCGTCTGACGATGCCACCAGCATCAGTATCATGGTGCTCTAAGATGCAGAGGTGGGCAGGTGAGCCCGGCCACTCAGCCATGTACAGAAAGGAAGAAAGGAAGAGACTGGAGAGACGGCTCAGTGGAAAAGCACTGTCCAACTCTAAGGGCACGGGTCTGAATCATCAGAACCCATGCAAAGCCGGACTCGGAGTGTCTAATGCCCAGCGCTGCCATGGCATGATGGGAGTCAGAGCTGGGGAACCTGTGGGAGCTGAGCAGCCAGGTAGCTGGGCGTCCACACGGAAAGACCCCACCTCAAGCAGGATGGAGGGCAAGGACTCACACCTGTGGTTGTCCTCTGGCTCCACAGGTGCCCACATATGTGTGCACACACACAGGGCACACTGCTGAGTGTGTGACACAGTGGAGGAAGATGAAGCTTGGGATGTCACTCTGAGGGTGTTAGGAGTCCCAGCACAGGACAAGGCTCCTCTTCCCCAAGTCAGAGAAAGAAGCACCACGGAGGGGCAGGCTGGGCAGTGGGGAAGGCTGCAGCGGCTGCATGGCCTGGAGGGATGGCTCTCATGCATCACGAGCACGCTGAGATCAGGCACTAACAGTACCTGCAAGTGTCTGGAGCAAGCTGGGATACTTGGCCCAGCGCTGCCGGGCTGCACCTGGGGGACTGTGCCCTGCATACTCACAGAGCTCCCCGCCCTGCTGCAGGGCTTTGGGCCTGGAGAAATGGCAGTCCTAGGCTGGGCTGGGGCTGTCTTCCTAGGGTCTCTTAGTCCACCCCAGGACTACGGTTGGTGACCACAGCCTTGGGGACCTACCAGTTTCCACCGCTGCTCAGGGATGGCACTGACGTCCACAGGGTTGCGCTCAATCACATTCAGGAACCGTACCTCGGGGACTGCAATGGCGCAGATCACGTGAATCCACCTGAGAGGTCAGGGCAGGGTCACAAGTGCACTGCTGATAGTTCCAAGGGGCCAGCCAGGCTGGGGGGTGGGGCGGGCAGCGAGGCTTGTGGGCATTCAGGACAGTGCTCCCCTCACGGTTGTGGGCCCTGGCCCCCCACTGTGAGTGGCAGCCGCCTTGCTTGCTGTTCAGCCAGATGTCCTCCCTATTCAGATTCCCTGCCGGTTTCCTTCTCACCTAACGTTCTACCGGAGGTTCTTTGTTCCTGTATCCTGCATTTGGTGTAAACAGCTTAGATGCAAGAATGTAGAACATTGGGTAGCAAACTTCTGCCCTCCGGGGATCCGCCATTGTGCTGTAAGTCTGTATTTAAGGTTTCCTCCCTCTTTCAATAAACGGCATTCGGCTGGCACTCGGCATTCAGCCGTGGCGAATGACTCGCTGTCTCTTGTCCCTTATTTTTTAATCCACAGCCCCTCGCTCGGACATGGTGAACGGTTGGTGATAGCGCGGGCGTTATCCCTACAAATGGAGGTTCCTACCGAGATCCGAGAAAGAAGGGACGAGCTGATGGACACCCGAAAGGTAAGGCTGGCCAGCAATTTAAAGAAAAAAGAAAAGATAAGGGTGAATTGAAATGGGTGCAGCTAGCTCACAGTCAGTTGATTGGACTGTTGAAGCAGGAAGGCACCGAAGTTAAGATAGAGCAAGACAGCTGAAGATTTTAAATAAAGAAGGAAATCTTCCCAAAAGAGAAGAGGGAAGGATAGGAAATTTCCCATTAGAAAAGGGAGAAAAAATTTTAATCAAGAAAAAAGGATTTTCCCGGTAAAAAGGGGAAAAATTTTTGAAACTAGGCCTAAAGATTGGGGCCCTGTAGAGGAAGGATGGAGGAAAGAGAAAAGCCTCTTCCCAGTGGTAATGGAGGAAGAAAAGGCTTTTTCCAATTGTAGAATTTTCAGGATAGCTGAAACTCTGAGCTCTTTCTGCAGTGCAGCATCTGAACTACAAAGAATCGGCAGGTAGGCCTCATTGTTGCTGGCTGAACAGCAAGCGAGCCCAGAGGTTAGAAGTTTGGCTGTCTGTTTGCTTATTCTGGTTCAAATGTTTTTTATTTTTTCCTCGGAGTGGGAATAATTCAATATTTAGGATCCCTTCATGGGAAATGTTTTTCTGTTTTTCCCTTATGGCGGGAATAACTCATTGTTAGGTAGTCCCTTCATGGGACTAGGAAGTTTAAACAGGAGTTTGTGTGTGCGGGGCGCGTGCGTATATGAGATAGCCTGGAGCAGCGGACAAAGGCATGCAAGAGACAGCGCCGGTGGGAGTTGGAGCTGCGATGGAGCGTGGCCCGGCCGGGCACCAGCACTGGAGCCCAGGCACGGGCACTAGAGCCTGAGCACTGGGCGGAGCCAAAGCTAAGCCGCAGCTTCAGCTCCCGCCAAGTGAGCAGAGGCCCGGGAAGGGACTAGTGCCTAAAAGTTTAAATGGGCCTAACTTCTGATGAAAAATGGTTTCAGTCAGGACATTGAATGCTAAGTCAATGCTGTGTGAATAAAGGATGTTCTGTTCTTTTGATTGTCTTAATAAATGTTTGGATGAATGTTTGATTCTCATGGTAGATAAACTAAAGGAACAAGATTCATAATTTTGAACTATATATTAGGTGTGCTCTTGTCTGTTGATCATTACTGAAAATTTGGTTCTGCAATTTAAGTTGCTTTCTAGAAATTCTTGGTTTAATTTTATAGAAATATAACACCTGAAATGGATTGGGTTGTTAGCTTATTAAATAATGTTGTTGCTAAGATAAACCCATAAATAATAATCTCTTACTGATAAAGAGGTCACAAAATTATTTTTCTAGTAAATAAAATACAGGTAAATTGTTTGGTCCACATTGTTAATAATTGGCTATTTGTGCTAATGTGTTATTTGAAATCTATATTTAAAAAAAAGATACTCTTTTTAAGATTTTATAAAAATACTCCAGAGTATTGCCTAAAGTTACCTCTTCAAATCCTATAGAGATTGTATTTAATGCTTTTATAATTGGCATATGTAAAAAGGACCATAAAAATAGAAGCTGGTGATAGAATTGCTCAATTATTATTGCTTTCATATTTTAAAGGCAAAATGGTGCCTATATGTAGAACTGGAGGTTTTGAAAGTACAGGAGAAAAGATGTTTTGACAAACAGTTATCAATGATAAACAGCCTAAATTAAAAACAAAATTATATGGGATTGAGATTGAAAGATAATTGGATTCTGGTGCTGGATATATCTATAATTTCACAAGAATCCTGAGATCCCAATTGGCCCCTTAAGAATTCCATCTCTAACCTACAAGGTATCGGCACAGCTCAGACGCCATTGCGGAGCAGGCTACTCTTAAATTGGAAGGATGAGAAAGGTCATGCAGGAACTTTTCAACCCTTTGTGCTACCTGACATTCCAGTAAATTTGTGGGGACGAGATGTGTTAGATGGTATGGGAGCAGTGCTTACTACACAGCCTGTACAACAGATACTAAAAAGTCAGGGCTACTGCCCAGGCAGAGGCTTAGGAAAAATTAGAGGTCCTGGGGGGATACAAGAGGATTAGGGTCTTTTCCATAGGGGTCACTGCACAGCAGCCTTCGATTATACAACCAATAAAAATCACTTGGAAAAGTGATGACCCTGTATGGGTGGAACAGTGGCCCCTTACTAACGAAAAATTGGAGGCTGCGAATACATTAGTTAAGGAACAGTTAGATGCTGGACATATCATTCCTTCCACTTCACCTTGGAACTCACCTAGATTTGTTATTAAAAAGAAGTTAGGAAAATGGAGGCTATTACAGGATCTTAGAGCTGTAAATAAAACCATGCTTCTCATGGGAGCAACACAGCCTGGCTTGCCTGCCCCTGTGGCAATTCCTAAACATTGACATTTAATTGTGGTTGACTTCAGGGATTGTTTCTAAAATGTTTTGGCAAACAGGTCCTATTCTATGGGTACATTCCCCAGCTTCTCCAGCAAAAACCATTACTCCTTATCCACAGGCTGTTGCTCAGATTATATTTAAGGGAATCAAGATCAGTGTTCAAACTTTTGGTAAGGAGCCAGATATTGTGGTGACCCCATACACCCAGTCTCAAATAGCATGGTTGCAAGCTAATGATAATGATTGGACCGTATTGACATGCTCAATGCAGGGTCAGTTTGATACTCACTATCCCTCTAATGATGTGTGTCAATTTTTTAAATTGCATCCTGTTATATTTCCCAAGATAGTACAGATGACTCCTATTCCTCAGGCCCGTGTAGTATTTACTGATGGCACTTCACGTGATTTTGCTGTGGTAGTTTCTGGTAACATAGTAAAGAGAATGAAAGTCCAGGGCACTTCTGCCTAAATGGCAGAGGTACAGGCACTGTTGCTTGCTTTACAGATGTTTTCTGATGAGAGTGTAAAAATTTATACTGATAGCCAATATGTGGCACATGCAGTTATGCCTTTGGAGACAGCAGCCTACATACCATCCATTTCTCCCATTCATGAATATTTATTGCAAGTGCAAGGACTAATATGGTCCCGCTCACATAACCTTTATGTGGGCCATATTAGAGCTCACACCCAATTGCCTGGACCTCTAAGTGAAGGTAATCAGAGGGCTGACGCCATTACTCGTATGGCTGTTACATTAGTTTGTTCTGCCTTTGATAAGGCTACTCAGTTGCATCAATGTTATCATCTTAATGCTGGATCTCTTCGTCATCATACAGGCATAACCCGGGAACAAGCCATCCAGATAGTTAAATCATGTCCTATTTGTTGAATTTTTACCTGTTCCTCATTTGGGAGTTAATCCCCGAGGACTTTTACCTAATCATGTGTGGCAGATGGACGTCACACACGTGCCTTCCTTTGGAAAACTACAATATGTCCATGTGTCTATTGATACATATTCTTCTCTAATTTTTGCTTCTGCTCATTCAGGGGAAAAGGTTAAGGATGTTAAGAATCATTGTCTTCATGCTTTTGCTTACATGGGCGTGCCAAAATGCATAAAGACTGATAATGGTCCCGCCTACAGCAGTACGGGATTTTCAAAATTCTGCCAAGACTTTTCTATTGTTAATAAGACTGGTATTCCTTATAACCCTCAAGGACAGGCTATAGTAGAACACTGCCATCATTGCTAAAGTAAAAAGGGGGGAGCTAGGGGCTCATCTCTCCTCTCCACATTCTATTCTTTCCCTTGTTTTATATATTTTAAATTTTTTATCGGTGGATTCTGCTGGAGTATCCACTGCAGATAAGCACTGGAGGGCTCCTGTTGCAAATCATCCTCTGGTGCAATGGAAGGATCTTTCTACTGGCACTTGGAGGGGACCCGATCCAGTGTTGGTGTGGGCCCGGGGATCTGTTTGTGTCTTTCCACAGGACAATGAAGTTCCTCTTTGGGTTCCTGAGCGCTGTGTGCGCCCTGTGGCTGCTGCTGAATCCCGACATGGCAGAGACCTATTGGGCCTTCGTAAAAAACTCTCCCCTTCTGATGCCAATGGGGATTGAGAGCCCAATACAGCCAGCCTTGGCAAGCATTAACATAAGCCTCGGAACTGTAGCCATGTGGTTGGATTCTTCAGAAGGTAATGTATGGTAACTTTTTTCAAAAATGTTGAGAATGTGTCACACCTTGGAGATTAAGGATAACTCTGAAGGTCACTGACCTCTATTTGTTAACAGTAACATGCCAGCTAAGCCTTTTCACATTTTGCAACCCTCTTCAAGCTGGTGTAGTACCTACTTTTCAGGAATGGCTCTGTGCAACATTTATTGGCCTCCTGAAATTCATCTAGCCTTTTTGAAGATACCTTAAATTTGTGAGCCTGAATGTAGCCATTAATGAGACCATTAGTTCTGCTCCTTGTTTGCTGTTTTTGTTTTTGTTTTCTTTATGGTTCTTAGTTGTTCTTTTGCAGACCTGCCAGCCTAAGTAGTGCTGGGATCAAGAAAAATGGGCCTTGGTGGTTCGTGTTCCTGGAGCTGCGTCCATGCCAGTGGACCATGGCAGTTAGACACAGATGATGCTCACACGCTCCAGAAGAGAATCTGACATCGCTGTTGCCGTTGTTGCTGTTATAGCAGTGGTGGCCACTGCTGCTATTGCTTGTGGGATGGCTACTTCATAATTGGGTTCTACAGCTAGCACAATGGAGACCCTGGCAGCAAAAGTAGCTACCACAGTTAGTTAATCTTTTATTTTATTGGGCATGATAAATTTAATTCTACATTGGCTTTGAAAGTTGTAAAAATTATTAAAACTCAAGTTCTATTTGCTTATGGGATACCACCTTACAAGGACTCCAATTTGCAGTAAGGCTCGTTTAAGAAGGGAATGGCTCAGTTGCCTTTAGCCTCCTGGCTATGGGTGGATTAGGACTTCTGTTGGTCTTTTCTGTGTCGCACAGATTGCAAGCCCAGCGCCACTTTGAGATCTTTGGCAGCAGTCACTCTACAGCTCACGTGGTTGAGTCTGTATGATAATGAGTATTCAGAGACGGGTAATGCTTGGGGGGCGGTCATCAACCTAAGACAGAGCACTTGTGTGACCTGGGCAGGTGTCTCTATGACGGGTAAGGTGACCTGCTGACGTCCCACGCAACCTAAGTCAGAAGCTCATTTTTTAGTAAAAAGGGGGGACCTGTGGGCCCTGGCCCCCCACTGTGAGTGGCAGCCGCCTTGCTTGCTGTTCAGCCAGATGTCCTCCCTATTCAGATTCCCTGCCGGTTTCCTTCTCACCTAACGTTCTACCGGAGGTTCTTTGTTCCTGTATCCTGCATTTGGTGTAAACAGCTTAGATGCAAGAATGTAGAACATTGGGTAGCAAACTTCTGCCCTCCGGGGATCCGCCATTGTGCTGTAAGTCTGTATTTAAGGTTTCCTCCCTCTTTCAATAAACGGCATTCGGCTGGCACTCGGCATTCAGCCGTGGCGAATGACTCGCTGTCTCTTGTCCCTTATTTTTTAATCCACAGCCCCTCGCTCGGACATGGTGAACGGTTGGTGATAGCGCGGGCGTTATCCCTACAACGGTGACACCCTGTCTCTCTCCAACCTCCAGAGAAGCTGGGCAGGGAGACAGGAGGTCGCACAGGGCAGGGCAGAGTACACACCTGTGCTCCGTGGTCGTCTGAAGCGCTCCCCCGCGGAGGTTGCACAGACAGCATTCCTAGGGGACAGAGCATCAGGGTGAAGTGCAGCCACCTCCACTGTGCACCGCCCCACCCAAGGGACACCCTAGGGATAGCAAGTATCAAGCCCCAGCCTCAGCACAGCTAAGATCAAGACCATTGGCCCATGGAGGCCTAGAACCTCCCAGGCTTTAGGTGTCACCCAGCACAGGTGAGTTACCGCAGTCCAGGCATGGGCCGCACACCGGGAGCATGTCCAGCCCTCCTTGGCCAGCTCAGGCCGGACACCATAGCAACCTGGAAGACAGCAGAGTGCTTGGATAAGACCAAATCTGTCACCCTCCACACCTGCAGCCCTCCACACCTGCAGCCCTCCCCACACCTGCAGCTCCCCACACCTGTATAGTGTAGCCTCCTGGTCCAGAACCCTGAACAGTGCCTCCCCCAACTCAAGATGCCCTGGGTCCAGAAAGTGCCCTCCTGTCCCCAGAGCCCCTCACACCCAGATGCTGTGGAACACTCACTGGCGTGGACCTGCAGGCAGCAGTGGGCACAGGAAATGAGTGGGCTGGTACCATCCTCGCCGACATAGGAATTGGCAGGCAGTGGCTCCGTGTTCTCCCCACTCGAAGTGAAGCACATCTCAGGGATCAGTGGCCGTGTCCTCTGGCCACTTTTCGAGGGTGGCTGGACAGTACTGTCCCCTGGAGTGGCCGGGACCTCTCGCTCTGTCTGTACTGACTGCAGAGGCACAGCCATCAGGAGGTCGCAGAGAGTCCCATAACCAGCTCAGGGCCACAGGAGGCCTGCTGCAGCTCCCCCTCACCTATCCTCAGAGTCTGGGGTGTTCATAGCTGCTCTCCCTGGGGCTAGGGCTGCAGTGGGACTGAGGGGGACAGGTGACACAGCAGCTACAGCATCAGTACGGGGAGGCCAAGCTCACCTGGCTGTAGGGGTAGAAGAGGGTACAGATGGCGCAGTAGGGCTCACTGAGGGCAGCTGCCGCATTGAACTTCCTCTCAGCTTGGAAACTAGCTGCCCTGTTCTTCCACTGCAGCGACAGCAGGGACTTCAAGGCCTCGGGATCACTCACATCGTCCTCTCCTGAGAACAGGAAGGCTTCTGTGATGGATGGGGGGCTTGAGTTGGAAAACAGGGCCCCACGGCGGCCCCACCCCACTGCTGCCCCCGTCTACACAGCCCTGGCTGGTACTTGGTGGGCTGCATTGCATTCCGAGCATGGAGGGAGGGGCTGGTTTCCATCCATGGGTCTCCTCAGAGCTTAACCTAAGGCCTGGACCAAACATGCCACCCTCAGACACAGGCTCTTGTCTGTGAAGCTGGGCACAGTGCTGCCTACCTGCCCGGGAGCCTCAGCCACAAGGCTGCTGAAGCCTGGCCCACCTGTGCGGCAGCATGGCCCCAGGTGCGCGAGAGGACAGAGGGAGTGTCAGGCAGAACCCACTCCATTCTTACCACCTTACACCTTCCAGCCCTAGGAACTCCTCAGAGTCTGGGACACCCTACCTAGTACCCAGCCTGCTCAGCCTGGGGAAGCCTCACACAGCCCAAGGGCACCAGAGACCCCAAGACTGTGCTGTATTTGGACCCTGCCGCCTGCCAAGAGACACTCAGAGTATGGAGCTGGGGAAATTTTGCCAGCCCACGACTCCCCAGAGTGCCTTCTGGGAAGAGCTCAGCTGGGAGGCAAGAGCCTGGGGCTTGGTCTCAACTGTTCCCCAGATTCCTGTCACTCCTGTGGTGAGGTTTTGGGGTCCTGGGTGCTTCTAGAACCATCCTGTGAGCACAGTACGGCACTGGGTGGAAGAGCTGCCAGCCAGCTCTCGGACTCCGCCAACAGCTTACGGAGGAGCGGAGACCCACCAGGACCTGCACACAGGCCTGCTCCACCTGCCCTGCAGCCAGCAGACACCTCTGCACCCAAGGCTCAACCAGCAGTGGGGAGTCCCCGTGGGGCTGCCGCCTGCACTCACCAGCCCCCACCATCCATCCACAGCCACACCCTAAGCTAGCATTGGTACCACACATCGGGGGACAAACCCTAGATGCCTAGTTCTGCAAGCACTGATGAAGCTCCTGTGCAGAACTGAGGGTGCAGCCCTGGGACAGAGGAGCTGTTGCCACAGACCATGACCATGGCCCCAACCACAGCCTGCACGCTGCGCCCCTCTGTCACCACTGTCTGCACACTGCATCCTGTCACCACTGTCTGCACGCTGCATCCTCTGTCACCACTGTCTGCACGCTGCATCCTCTGTCACCACTGTCTGCACGCTGCATCCTCTGTCACCACTGTCTGCATGCTGCATCCTCTGTCACCACTGTCTGCACGCTGCGTCCTGTCACCACTGTCTGCACGCTGCATCCTCTGTCATCACTGTCTGCACGCTGCGTCCTGTCACCACTGTCTGCACGCTGCATCCTCTGTCACCACTGTCTGCACGCTGCGTCCTGTCACCACTGTCTGCACGCTGCGTCCTCTATCACCACTGTCTGCACGCTGCATCCTCTGTCATCACTGTCTGCACGCTGCATCCTCTGTCACCACTGTCTGCACGCTGCATCCTCTGTCACCACTGTCTGCACGCTGCATCCTCTGTCATCACTGTCTGCACGCTGCGTCCTGTCACCACTGTCTGCACGCTGCATCCTCTGTCACCACTGTCTGCACGCTGCGTCCTGTCACCACTGTCTGCACGCTGCGTCCTCTATCACCACTGTCTGCACGCTGCATCCTCTGTCATCACTGTCTGCATGCTGTGCCCTGTCACCACTGTCTGCACGCTGCGTCCTCTATCACCACTGTCTGCACGCTGCATCCTCTGTCATCACTGTCTGCATGCTGCGCCCTGTCACCACTGTCTGCACACTGCGTCCTGTCACCACTGTCTGCACGCTGCGTCCTGTCACCACTGTCTGCATGCTGCATCCTCTGTCACCACTGTCTGCACGCTGCATCCTCTGTCATCACTGTCTGCATGCTGCGCCCTGTCACCACTGTCTGCACGCTGCGTCCTGTCACCACTGTCTGCACGCTGCATCCTCTGTCACCACTGTCTGCACGCTGCATCCTCTGTCACCACTGTCTGCACGCTGCATCCTCTGTCACCACTGTCTGCATGCTGCGCCCTGTCACCACTGTCTGCACGCTGCGTCCTGTCACCACTGTCTGCACGCTGCATCCTCTGTCACCACTGTCTGCACGCTGCATCCTCTGTCACCACTGTCTGCACGCTGCATCCTCTGTCACCACTGTCTGCACGCTGCATCCTCTGTCACCACTGTCTGCACGCTGCGTCCTGTCACCACTGTCTGCACGCTGCATCCTCTGTCACCACTGTCTGCACGCTGCGTCCTGTCACCACTGTCTGCACGCTGCGTCCTGTCACCACTGTCTGCACGCTGCGTCCTGTCACCACTGTCTGCACGCTGCATCCTCTGTCATCACTGTCTGCACGCTGCATCCTCTGTCATCACTGTCTGCACGCTGCATCCTCTGTCATCACTGTCTGCACGCTGCGTCCTGTCACCACTGTCTGCACGCTGCGTCCTGTCACCACTGTCTGCATGCTGTATCCTGTCACCACTGTCTGCACGCTGCGTCCTGTCACCACTGTCTGCACGCTGCATCCTGTCATCACTGTCTGCAGACTGCGCCCTCTGCACAGGTGCTAGCACCAGGCCTCAGCCACCTGTCACAGGCCCTGGCTCCCTCCATCCTCCCCCTGAGACCCTGAACGCTGCAGCCCATTGCTTGGATGGGGAGTGGAACTATCCATGGTACCAGGGCCCCCGGCTGGAGATGGTTGTGATCTTGGCCCTCACTGGGTCACATGACATTTGAGACTGGTTGGATGGTGGGGTGTGGTGGAGGCCCTGCAGGCAGCAAAAAACTGGGGTGGTTAAAAGTATGGGAAGGTGGGCAGCTGGGTCTCTGCAGATGTGACGGAGCAGAGAATTCTGTGGTGGGTTTCCCACAGTGTATGGACGACCTGACTCAGGGACTGGATGGGTGGACACTGGCACCTGTGGAGGGGCTGGCCTGGGCCCCATGCCAGTGGAGGGAAGTAGCATGGTGGCGGCCCTGCTCACCTTCATCACTCGAAGTCTCCTGTTTGACCACAGACAGTGGGGACCGTGTCGGTGGCCGACCCAAGGGATGACGACGGCTTTTTTTGATTTCCACCTTCAGCTTAGAGAAGGAGGGTGGTGCCTGAAAGACACAGTACTATGAATGCTGGAACCTGTCACCTACAGCGTGCACACACGCACTCACATCCAGTGTCACCCACAGCATGCACACACGCACTCACGTCCAGTGTCACCCACAGCGTGCACACACGCACTCACATCCACTCCTATCACCCACAGCGTGCACATGCACTCACATCCAGTGTCACCTACAGTGTGCACACGCACACTCACTTCCACTCCTGTCACCCACAGCGTGCACAAGCGCACTCACGTCCACTTCTGTCACCCACAGCATGCGCACGTCCACTCACGTCCACTCCTGTCACCCACAGCATGCAAACACGCACTCACATCCACTCCTGTCACCCACAGCGTGCACATGCGCACTCACATCCACTCCTGTCATCCACAGTGTGCACACGCGCACTCACGTCCACTCCTGTCACCCATAGTGTGCACACACACACTCATGTCCAGTGTCACCCACAGCATGCACACGCACTCACATCCACTCCTGTCACCCACAGTGTGCACACACGCACTCACGCCCACTCCTGTCACCCACAGCGTGCACATGCGCACTCACGTCCACT